GAGCCAGTGATTATATTTAAATTCGCTATAATTGATTTGGGGAAGAGCTGCGGTGACAACGATGAATTGATTCGCAAATTTATTGGCGAGATAAATCCCGCGGTTATCGAAAACCCCGCGTTTCACTGCCGGGGCAGCCGTCGAGGATGAAGTGGGGGTCCCCTCCTCGGTACAGGGAGGGTGCGGGGGCCCCTCGGCCCCTTCAACCCGCCGCAGCTCCTCACTCGTTTGCGAGCCGAGCTGCGCTTGGAAATGGGCGCTGCTCCCTCATTCCATATGTCCTGGCTCCCCTGTGTCCGGGCTCTCCCCTCCCAGCAGCTCCTCCGTTACTTGGGTGGGACACGCGGCTCTGCTGCCGGGGGGATGGTGGGAGCTGGAAATCAGGGACACAAAACCCGGGGGGGCCAGGGTCTAGACGTCTTGATTCCTCTCTGTACCGAGGCGCTTCTCTCAAATAAAAACCCACTCCGAGGTCAGATGTTGCGCGAGGGCTGGAGCACCAAATTAAACTGGGGTTAGAAACCGGTTCCCTGCTCCTTCCCGGCCGCTCCGGCGTCGCCCAGAGCACCGGGACTCCCCACGCATCCCACCCCGCACAGAGCGCTCATACAGCTCAAGTACAAAACGCCGTTTATTTTCCACCCCACCGCGCAGCTGGGGGGGCTGGGGAATAACTTAGCATGCATAAGTAGAGGTAACTTCTTTTTTGTGGTTTTTTTTTATAAATACGATATACAAAAATAAAGACAGTATTGAGATTTCCAGCAGTTTTAACGTTCATGACATAAACAGTTTTCCCGATATATAGTAAGAACAAAACATTTCCAATACTCAGCCAAAGGAATGCACTTCCAGGGGGCAGGGAGGGAGGGGACGGGGACTCAAGTTTCGTCTGATTTTCAGTCAATAATAACACTGTATTCACCACAAATCCTTCCCTGCCTGGCATGAGGAGGATTCTCTTCTCCATCCCCCTCCAAGCAAGGAAAAACTGGAACAAGGCGGGGAGCGGGGCCGGTGCCGACGAGGAGCGGCGGGAAGGGCAGAGCCCGCAGCTGGAGGGAGCGGGGCCCGCGGGGGGGCTCACTGGGGCTGCGCCGGGGCTCCGTGCCGGCCCCGGGGCTGCGTGTCCTCCTCGTCTGCCTCGGAGCAGTCAGAGGAGTGGTAAGGGCAGCATCGCCCGGCTGCCACCTCCTCTTCCTCTTCCTCCTCCTCTTCTTCATCCTCGGGCTCGCTGTCGGGCAGCTCCCGCGTCCTCCTTCCGCCGCTCGCCCGCCTGCCCCCTCCTCTTCCTCTTCCTCCTCCTCTTCTTCATCCTCGGGCTCGCTGTCGGGCAGCTCCCGCGTCCTCCTTCCGCCGCTCTTCTCCGGGGCAGGGAGCAGCAGGTCCTCATCCCCCTTGTCCTCCCTGCCTGCCCCTTTCTGCTTCTCGGCCTCCTGAGCCGCCTGCTCCTTCGCCTTCTTGCTGCGCTTCCACTTCATGCGCCTGTTCTGGAACCAGATCTTCACCTGGGGTGAGGGGGGAAACACACACAGACACGGCCTCATCCTCCGCCTCCCCGATGGCAGCATCATCCCCCTCCCCCGGGCCCCCCGCCCGCGGGACACACCTGCGTCTCGGTGAGCATCAGCGACGTGGCCACCTCGAAGCGCTTGGGCCGGGAGAGATACTTGTTGAGCTTGAACTGGTGCTCCAGCTCCAGCAGCTGCCGGCCGGGGGAAGGCCGCG